TATACAAGTAATAAATATCAAATTTAATTTAATAGAATAAATAATTAATTAATAGCATTACTTATATTTTATTGTTTATTAAATATTATCAAATAATATTATAATTTATTATTTTAAGAGAAATTTCTAAATAAATAAGTAGCTTAAAACAAAAAATTCAAGATTTCATAATTTGAAAAATTAAATATACAATTATATATAAAAACAATATTATAAAAGATTTCTAAAATATGAAAATATTCTATAAAATATTCATATTTTTATAATATCATATCGATGTTCATATTTCTATTTAAATTTTTGTTTAAAATTTTTATATATATATATTATAAATATTTACTTGCTATGTAATTTTTCAATACAAACACTAAGTTCTTGCAAACATTCCAATAAATTATCCATATTTGCATTTGAATGTCTGAGACCTGATTGATCTCCACCAATTCCTTGTCGTTGACCTAATTCAAAATGAAGTTTGGCTAATTGTTCTTGTTGTTCTCGTATTTCTGTCATTTGTTCCATGCTACAATCTTTTCCTGTATTAAAATAGCATTTCAATTTTATATATAAGCTAAAATATGTTTAAATACATATTTTACATACCAAATGCTCGTAAATTGCCACTATGAAAATCTTCTAAAAGTTGTAATAAAGCTTGTTCCATACGTCGAACATCAGGAACCTCTGACAAAAAGCAATGATGTTTGCATGGTGCCATAGCTTTATTTTATGACACCAAAACACAACCAAAAAATATAATGAAAACTTAAAAAAACTTAAAAATAAAAAGTATATAAAAAAATTATAATTTATTATTAATTTAAAAAAAATTTTTTTATCATTAACTATAATATTATTTTAATATTTTTTTTATAAGAATTTCATAATAATATAAATAAATTATACAATATATAACATTATATATTATTAAAAAATAATATAAAAAAGATATTTTTTATATTGTTGCAAATATTTTTAGAATACTCAATATATGAATACTATAATAATAAATTTTAAATGATACTTAGAAATTTATTTTAAATAATATTTTATTATAAAAAATAAAATTACCTCTATGTTGACGATTAATTTTTGATAATTCTGGTCGATGTGATTTTTGTTTTTCTTTCTCATTCATATACATTAATCGAGACTGATTACTATGATTTGAAAGATTCACGGCTCGACCAGAAATCATAGATCCTTGACTTGTTGCTTGACCAGAACTTCCTTTACTAACAATAGGTGATGTTTGTATATTTGTTTCCCACAACACTTGTTGCTAAAATAATATATAAATTTCTATACTATATATAAATTTATTAGCACTACTTATAAACAATATGTTTATCTAAATAAGTTTATCTAATTAATTTTACACATTTCATATATATTTACAATTAAAATTAATTTATAAATGTATTATTTCATAAAAATAGATATACAGATAATGTATATGCATTTACGTAGGAAAGAATTAAATTAATAAAAAATATTAGAATAATTATAATTAATATTAAATATAGAATATGAAATATTTAAATATAAATAATTTGAAAAATTTAAAAAGAATATTTGAATTTTATTTAAAAAAAATGAGAAAAATAAAATATTATATAAAATTATATATTATATAAAATTTATTCTATTTTAAA